GGGGGGGTGCACAGTAGCAATATGGAGGACTACTGCATATTGCTACTGTTTTACTATGAGTATGAATCAGTTACTACTCTGATTACTGTTGCTCAATAATATTTTCACTTATATTTTAGTTACACAATAGCGCTTTTGCCACAAAACTGCTAATAGACCACTGAAATGAACAAATGTACTAATTTGTCTTTCAGAGCCTCTGGTGAATAACTGGCCCTGCAACCCTGAGCTGACACTAGTCGCTCACATCCCAGACCGCCGACAAATTATCTCATTTGGAAGTGGTTACGGAGGAAACTCCCTGCTGGGAAAGAAGTGTTTCGCCCTTCGCATTGCCTCACGCATTGCTAAAGAGGAAGGCTGGCTGGCCGAACATATGCTGGTAAGAAATGAAAATGAGACTGTCACTTAAATTTTGGATTCATCCACATTCTGTTCATTTTCATCAAGCTAAATATTTCCTGTGTTCAGATCCTGGGCGTCACCAACCCTGCTGGAAAGAAGAAGTACATGGCAGCAGCCTTCCCCAGCGCCTGTGGAAAAACAAACCTGGCCATGCTCTGCCCCACGCTGCCTGGTTGGAAGGTTGAATGTGTGGGAGATGACATTGCATGGATGAAGTTTGATGACCAAGGTAAAGGAAGGATGTCTTTTTAAAGGTCTTCAAGGATGTACAAATGTCAAAAATGTCATAAATCCAGTACAGCGGACTTTAACATTTCTAATTTGTGTGTTCACCCTGGTTGTAGGAAACCTCAGAGCCATTAACCCAGAGAATGGCTTTTTTGGCGTTGCACCCGGCACCTCAGCCAAGACCAACCCCAATGCAATGGCAACAATCATCAAGAACACCATATTCACAAATGTTGCAGAGACAAGTGACGGTGGTGTGTACTGGGAGGGAATGGACCAGTCACTGCCCGAGGGAGTTACCATCACATCCTGGAAGAACAAACCTTGGCGCTCAGAAGATGGTAAGCAGCTCTTTGATTTTAAGCAACAGCTCACAAAAGAAGAAAAAGAAGCAAGACTACAAGATGTCTAAGATTTAAAACCAGTATTTAAGGTGGAAACAGAAGTGTAACGAAAGCAATTTTCAAATGTCTCGTAACAAGAAAAAAAGCTTTTAATCTTTAATTGTTAGACCCAAATAATTTCAGAGTACAAGATTATATTATAAAAAAATAGGGATAAATAACAGAAAGATCATATACTTTAAAACTGAGAAGAAGTGTGTGAGTGTCATAAAAGTAAAACGTTCTTAGTTTCTTTCTTTTTTCTTCTTCTTCTTCGTAGGCGAGCCCTGTGCTCATCCCAACTCTCGTTTTTGCACTCCGGCAAGACAGTGTCCCATTATTGACCCACAGTGGGAGTCTCCAGAGGGAGTGCCAATAGAGGCCATCATTTTTGGTGGGCGTAGACCAGAAGGTGCGAAGAGACTACAAAAGATGGAAATGAATACACCAGTTGCCCTTTGATTAAATACATGAAATAAAAATAATACATAAATACTTCTCAGAAAATAACTGGATAATGAATCTGCTTATTTTCAGGTGTTCCCCTTGTGTATGAAGCTTTTGACTGGCAGCATGGTGTGTTTGTTGGCGCTGCCATGAGGTCGGAGGCCACTGCTGCAGCCGAACACAAAGGTCAGCATACGATAGTGTCCTTTTTTGGTATGAAAGACAATCAGTGGATGTTTAAGGAGTTTCTTAGATAATCATTTTGACTTTTGCCTAATATTCTATAAATAGTTTTAGACTAGCGACAATTTAATCTGAAATTCTGCTAAAAAAAACCACTTTCAGAATTCTTGAATGACAACAAATAACACATGAATGTCATTCACGTTAACATACAGTGTACTGACAAATCTCTAATTACTTTTTCTTCCAGGCAAAGTAATAATGCATGACCCCTTCGCTATGCGCCCCTTCTTTGGCTACAACTTTGGCCAGTATCTCTCTCACTGGCTGAGCATGGCTGATCGCCCCGGTGCCAAGCTTCCTAAGATCTTCCATGTCAACTGGTTCCGCAAGAGCCCCACTGCCGGCTTTCTTTGGCCCGGGTTTGGTGAAAATATCCGCGTTCTGGACTGGATGTTCAGACGGGTGAATGGCGAGGAGGGCGCCATGCCATCAGCAGTGGGCTACCTGCCTTGTAGAGACTCCCTAAATCTCCAGGGCCTTCAGGGACATGTGGACCTGGAGGAGCTGTTCTCCCTGGATCAGGAATTCTGGCAGAGGGAGGTGGATGAGATCAGGAAATACTTCACCACACAGGTGAACGCTGACCTGCCCAATGAGATAGCCCAGCAACTGGCTCTCCTGCAGCAGAGGGTGAAGCAAATGTGAAGAGGAAAAAGCCACATGTTAGCAGCTGTAAACAATTGTAGGGTTAATTCTCCAGACTATTTGTCTGTAATTCTAGACTACAGTGTTGGCAATAATAGAATAACATGTAAGACATTCTGGAAATTAAATTAAGTAACTGGGAAACAACATCTTAAAATCATAGAACATAGTATGAATAGCTAGATTATCTCTTTGACGTAGTCTTAATTTATAGTAAAGCCTTTATATCCTTAAGAAAATGAGCAGTTTTCCTTACAGCATTTGGTTATTACCACTGTGACATTCTATAATCTGCTTGGGCTGTTCATTACAAAAAATCCATGCAAATCATGGAGAATGTAAATCATGAAACTGTAGGAATAGTAAAGATAAACCTTCCTGACCATGCTCATTAGAACTATCTCAGCGAGATAATATCAGTAAAGACTGCTACATTTCCATGCATCTTCATCTTCATTTATAGTAGCAATATTTTTTCTTCTGTTGTTCCAATGTATTGTCCTATTGTCAGAAGTCTTCTATTTAATAATAACTTATTGTGAATGCACATCTTACTGTCATTGTCGTATCGAATTATATGACAGAGACAGAGTCTACGTTAGCTCAGGTCTCACAAAAGGGAATTTTGTATTATTTTTGCCTTAATTTATTTTTATACTGACTTAGTATCACCTGGTTCTCTTGTGTTGTAATCTAAGCCCCCAATGAGGTGAAACAACAATAAAAGTATTTAAACTTACTCGTCGTTCTGTTTCATTTTTCACGGATCTGGTTTTGTTATTATTGTTTTATTTTTTAAGTGTTGAAAAGAATAAAATCAAGCATTATTATATTAAGCTGATACAACACCTCCATCACGTCATATACACCTGCTAGGAATAAATAATGAGCATTTAATTGAGTTAAAAGTCAAAACTAAACTTCAACTAAACTACATGTATCTATATATCTGTAAACAGCAATAATCTAAAAATAGTCTTAGTTTGTGCTAAAATATCTGAAATCAGTCTTTCAAATACGAAGAATGCCAAAACAAAGAAAACATGATTATATAATCCATCTTTGACACTGCTATTTAAAATAAGACTTTACACTTGGTGGAATACTCTTTCTTGGCAAGCAAAGCTGTCAAATATTTCATGCAGTTTGTCCTGCGGTTTGCATACATCTACCTCTCCTCTTTTCAGATCTTCTCATAATCTTTTAGTTCAAAGGTTGTTGCTTGGAAGCTTCATTTCTCTCTATAGGTTTTCTGTTGGACTAAGACCCAGACAGTGGTTAAGGTGCTCCATGACTTTACTGTACTTCTTCCTGTATGATTTGGGTTATTGTCTTGCTGGAAGACCTATTCATGAGTCACTTTCAGTCCTTGGCTGAGTGATTAATGTCATGCAGTCACCCTGTACTTCTGGCACAAACACATTCCCAAAGCCTAAAGTTTCCATCTCCATGTTTTGGGATAGTATTCTCTGTGTCATCTTCAGCAAATGCAACCAGTAAATTGATGCAAAAATTGCTCAATTTTGGCCTCGTCTACCACATCACACTCTCTCAAGGCCTGAACATGGGTCCTCCGGGATTTCAAACCATCACAGCACTATGTATTACAAATATTTTTCTTGGTAACTGTCCTCAGAGCTGCTCTGATATCTTTAACAACAGAGGAAATCTTGCAAGTTGCGTGGGGCAACTTGCAAGATTATTATTGATAGTAATTTCATCTTTGTTCCATTTGTGATTAATCAGACCAACAGATATGATTGGTTTTTTGGTTTTTTTTACTATGCTTCTTGTGGATATGTCTATTAGACTATAAGAGTGTGTGAAGTTTAGCAGTCTTCTTGCCGATATTCTTAGGTGGCTTTTTGTTTTTGCAGCATTCAAGATGTAAACAGGTCAGAGGTTCTGGGTGCTATTCGTAGAACTGGTGCAATTAACTGTCAGTGTTGGCTGTTAATGCTGAAGTTGCTGCCAATTAAACTTTTATTGAACAGTTTACTTTTGTTTCAGTTCATGCTGGTCAGTACAAGATCAAATAATTAGTTATCTTACATAAATTAGCATTCATTTGTAACTCTTACATCTCTAATCCTGAATATTTTGTTGACATTCTATCATTTACTATTAAAATAAACCTACCACAGAATTCTAAGTGGCTAAAACAATGAGTTCAATTTGGAATCAATATGTATTTCCCTCCACTGTAGATCAGCTGGTCGAGGATACTTACAAGAAGGTCCTTGTTTTATTGTTCAACTAAATCCAATGATATTTAATCCTGATTTTTTTTTGTCTCTTTTCGGTTAAGGTTAGGATTAAAATATGTAAACCTGACAGGTGACCCTGTAGTAGCATTTAGTTTTAGTTGCCAAAGCTCAGGCTGTTGGTGACTTCCCATGATGTGTTGAGCAAATTTTCCCCCCCCCACTCTTTTCAATGTATATGCCACTGTGTCATGTCATTAATTTTTGTCTGTTCTGTATGCAGTTGTGTATTGTTTGTGGTCTCTCTGTGCTGCTCTTTTCTTGAGCCTGATGAATGAGTGTCAGCAGGACTGACAAACTGGTGTGGAGGTCTAGCTCCGTGCTGGGATGTCCTCTGGAGTCTGTGAAGGCTGTGGGTGAGAGGAGGATGACACCCATCATGAACAACCCACATCAGCCTCTGCATGAGCCTGTTAGTATGCTGAGCAGCTCCTTTAGTCACAGACAGAAACACCCTCGCTGCAGGAAGGAGTGCTTTCACAGATCATTCATCCCAACAGCAGTTAGACTCTATAACTCCTCAATCATGACATCATGAGTCACTGGACATTGTGGACATCACACACTTCATGCATAATGCACCTTTTTATATGTATGGACGTGTGCAGGTATATACATATGTATATTTAGTTTAGAACGTGTGTGTGTGCGTGTACATTTCTATACTCATAGATATCTATTACTTACATAGTAATAGTAGTGGTTGAATTGTTACATTTATGTCTTGCATGTCTTGTCTTGGTGTCTTATCTTATCTTAAACATAAATCATGATACAAAATGACAAAAACACAAGAAAACCCAAAATGCGGGGTCAAATGACTCTGAACCATGACAATGGGATTCTTCTTCCCCACCATCACCAAGTGCTACTCACAGGGGGGTATCTGAACATCTGCTTTTTTTCTTTCTTTTTTTTCTTTTTAGAATTTCTGTAGTCAAATAAAAAAAAGCTTAAATTCAGTTGCTGAATTTATATTGGTATCGTGTGTTTTATACAGTGCTTTATCACAGTTACAGACACAGTTACATAATATAGCCCACTGTATACACTATAGTCAGGGGTGCACATAAGTGGTCCGCAGGTGCGCATTCGCTGTCAAAATAAAAGACGCGCACCAGATAAGAAGTTGCAACGCGCGTTTGCGTACATATAAAAGGCAGTGTTTTTGTCCGCTAGAGTGGGATTTTCATGGCACATTCTGCACCACATCTCTCTGCGTTCATCATTTGTTTGAAGCCAGCTCACCTCCTGCAACCACTTTTCCGAGAATATGCGCTTCTTTTGCGGTTCGGACTCCTTCTGACATTTATTTGGAGGCTGTGTAAAGGAGCTTGCTTCTTCGACATCTTTAAGAGTTCTAAACAAATGTCTGTCCTCCTCCAGCAAATCTTATGTACGCAAACGCGCGTTGCAACTTGTTGCGCGTCTTTTATTTTGACAGCGAATGCGCACCTGCTTACCACTTATGTGCACCCCCGACTATAGTCAGTCTCTTGCTATGACCTCACAAAAAGCAAGCTAATCCTGTTTTTAGCACGAATGTTGCTACATGCAAAACATCATGTAGACAACAAGACAATCTGTACCGCAATCAGGTCGCCTGGACTGTGGCTGTGTGGGCAAAAGACCTGCAACTGACAAATAAAGGCTATCTCATCATCATCATCATTATCTCACATGCTGTTGTGTAAGATATGAAGATAATGACATGAACTGTAGTTAATCATCACTAACTTGTTTTTGACACTATCTTTGACTGAAATAATGTTTCTAAGAACATAAAGAGACAAGTAACAGAAATAAGTTTTCCACCAGAGGCTGGTTAACCAGTAAAGACTCATAATCAATGACAGATCATCCAGAAGAATCATTGCAAAATGTCCCACTTATCTCCACGTATGAGCACTTAGACATTAAATAAACACAAAATAGGTTACTGGGGAAAGTTTTTGTTGTAGCATTTCCAGCAACCAAAGTGGATTTGCAGGTAAACAGGTAAACATTTTTATTCAGGCTGCAGTTCAATTAAATCGTACAGATTGTTAAAGTTTACTGCTAAAAAGATCAGCACCACTTCAATTCACTTTTTAAGTTAAATCAAGGTGTTATTATCTAAAGAAGAAACAACAAGTTTCCATAAAGAATTCCCATCAGAATCCAGCTAACTAACTGCAGGATGATTGGATGTGAAGTCCATACAACTCCTGTAAATGTACAACAAATGTACACAGGACACACAGGTTAACAGACACATGACTATTTACTCTTTTGGCCTACAATGTTCCTGCACCAGGACCTGGTAATAACACAACCAGCAACCTCAACGGGCAGAAATCCCGACAATGCAGAAATGCTAATTACTGCAGTTTTTATAATGATCACTCGAGGCTGGCACCAAAAGGGATAGTTAGTAGCTGATGTATCTAATAGGCTTAGCCACCACAAAATCAAATCACTGATTGATCGCCTGAATGTGTCGGTGATCTGACAGTTCATATAGTGAACTGACACAGGTCAAAGGCTCAGTGTTCTGTGTCTGTGTGTTGAACCCCTTCAGTTTATGACTCCACATTGTCAACCAGGCATGCAAGTGTTAGATGATAATTTAGCATTTTACTCTTTCAGTGTCCAAAGCAGAATCCAAAATGTTTATGCGAGCAGTGAGGGATTCACAAAAGATACCAAATGGATGTTGCATTGCAGTTATTTTTTTTATTAATATTGAAGTGCAGCTTCTTATAAACCTGCCTTTTTTTTCTTTAAATTGTTTTATATTTTGTATTATATGAGGTTTAAGGAAAGTGTCAGTTTCGTTACCTTACAGTGAACTCAGCCATGTTTTTCAATTGGAAAAAAAGTTCTGCACCATGCACAAAAACATCTTATGTAACATAATTTTGGCATAAACAGGATTGTTTGTCTGATTGTGTTGTTAGCGATTCATCTTCTTTGAGACAATGATTTATTCCTTAAGTTCTGCCAGGACCGGACAAGTTGTATATTCTGGTTTTTCAGCAGTCTAATCTGAGGAAATAATTACCTCGAAACCACACAGAGGCATACTTCGACTGTATGTCTCAATCTGTTTTTGAGCAAAGCTCTTATCTAATGTTCTAGACTATGGAAGCTATTTTTACATCTATAAAGTGCATTATTGTGGCCTATCCATGTCCATGCTTTTAATATTATTTTAATATTATTTTATACA